CGAAGCCCAGGAACAAGACAAGGATGTCCACTCTCATCACTTTTATTCAACATAGTACTAGAAATGCTAGCCACAGCAATCAGACAATGAAAAGAAACAAAAGGCATCCAAATTGGTGAGGAAGAAGTAAAACTTTCATTATTTGCAGATGACATGGTACCATATATAGGAAACCTGAGAGACTCCACCAAGAAAATGGCTAGAAGTGGTAAACAAATTCAGTAAAGTTGCAGGACATAAAATAAATGTACAGAAATCAGTTGCATTTCTATACGCCAATAATGAAGCAGCAGAAAGAGACATTAAGAAAACAATCCCATTTTCGATTGCACCCAAAATAATAAGATACCTAGGAATAAACCTAACCAAAGAGGTGAAAGACCTGGACTCTGAAAACTAGAAAACATTGATGAAAGAAATGAAAGATGCCACAAAGAAATGGAAAGACGTTCCATGCTCATGGATTGGAAGAACAAATACTGTTAAAATGTCTATACTACCCAAAGCAATCTACACATTTAATGAAGTCCTATGAAACCGCCAATAGCATTTTTCACAGAACGAGAACAAAACAATCTTAAAATTTGTATGAATCCACAAAAGATCCCAAATAACCAAAGCAACCTTGAAAAAGAAAAGGAAAACAAAGCCAGAGACATCACAATTGTGGGTTTTGAGTTATATTACAAAGCTGTAGTGATCAAAGCAGTACGGTAATGGCACAAAAATAGACACACACAGATCAATGGAACACAATAGAAAACCCAGAAATGTATGCACAACCATATGGTCATTTAATCTTCGACAAAGCAGGAATGAACAGCTGGTGGGAAAATGAATGTCTCCCCAACAAATGGTGTTGGGATAACTGGAGAGCAACATGTAAAAGAATGGAACTGGACCAATTTCTTACACCATACACAAAAATAAACTCAAAATGGATTAAAGACCTAAATGTGACACCAGAAACCATAGAACTCCTAGGAGAGAACACAGGCAATAACTGCTTTGACATTGGCTGTAGCAAATTCTTTCTCCATGTGTCTCTGGAGGCAAGGGAAAGAAAAAAAAATAAACTACTAGGACTACATCAAAATAAAAAAAGAAAAGCTCCTGCACGTGAAGGAAACAATCAACAAAACTAAAAGACAACCTACAGAATGGGAGAAGATATTTGCAAATGACATATCCCATAAAGGGCTAGTATCCAAAATATAGAGAGAACTATTAAAAATTCAACTCCCCAAAGACAAATAACCCAATTTTAAAAATGGGCAAAAGACGTGAACAGACATTTCTCCAAAGAAGACATCCAGATGGCCAATAGACACAGGAAAAGATGCTCGACGTCACTCACCATCAGGGAAATGCAAATCAAAACCACAGTAAGAGGGGCGCCTGGGTGGCTCAGTCTGTTAAGCATCTGCCTTTGGCTCAGGTCGTGATACCGGGGTCCTGGAACCCAGCCCTGTGTCGGGCTCCCTGTTCAGCAGGGAGCCTGCTTCTCCCTCTCCCTCTGCCCCCCAAAACCTCCCCCCCACTCATGCTCTCTCTCTCTCAAATAAAAAGACCATAATGAGATACCACCTCACACCTGTCAGAATGGTTAAATTAACAACACAAGAAACAACAGGTGTTGGTGAGGATGTGGAGAAAAAGGAAGCCTCGTGCACTGTTGGTGGAAATGCAAACTGGTGCAGTCACTGTGGAAACCAGTATGGAGGTTCCTCAAAACATTCAAAATAGAACTACCCTATGACCCAGCAATCACACTAATGTGTATTTACCCAAAGAATACAGGACCACTAATTCAAAAGGATACACGCACCCTTATGTTTATAGCAGCATTGTTTGCAATAGCCAAGATATGGAAGCAGCCCAAGTGTCCATCGACTGATGAGTCGATAAAGAAGAGGTGGTATATATACACAATGGAGTATTACTCAGCCATAAATAAGAAAGAAATTTTGACATTTGCAATGACATGGATGGAGCGAAAGACTATAACGCTAAGCAAAATAAGTCTGACGGGAAAGGACAAATACCATATGATTTCACTCGTATGTGGAATTTAAGAAACAAAACACATAAGCAAAGTGAAAAGAGAGAAACAGACTATTAATTATAGAGAAAAATCTGATGGTTACCAGAGGGGAAGTGGATGGTGGGCTGGGTTAAATAGGTGATGGGGATTAAGGTGTGCACCTATTGTGATGAGCCCAGGGTAATGTATGGAAGTGTTGAATCACTATACTGTGTACCTGAATCTAAAATAACACTATGTTAAATCTCTGGAATTTAAATTAAAACTTAAAAAAACAAAATAAAAATAAAAACTAAAGATCAAATATAAACGGAAAGAGCCTCATTGACCTGTGGGACATTATCAAATCACCAAATCTACATGTCCTTGGTGCCTCTGAAGAAAAAAGAGGGAGGGACAGACAGGAGAGTATTTGAAGATATAATGGTAGAAAGTGTTCCAAATATGAGGCAAAAACCAAAGACTCACAACTCCAAGATGGTCTTTGAATTTAAGGCCCACCATAAACCAATTGCTCTGAAAACAAAAATTAAGTGTCAAAAGCAGGCCGAGAAAAAGACACCTTATGGAAAAGGGAGCAAAGGTAAGAATGACTTCTGTCTTCTTGTCTGCAAAAATAAAACATGGAACAATCAGGGCATTGTTGCATAAATTTGTTTGTCATTAATGCAGACTTTAGTAAAATAGAAATAACTTGATCTGCATGTGTTTACCTGTTCTGTGAATGTGGAAAGTCACAGAAAAATGCAAAGTGCATGATACCACTTTTGACAAGAAGAAGGAGAAAGACAGGAAGGAAGAAAGACAGGAAGGAAGGAAGCAAGGAAGAAGAAGGAAAGAAAGAAAGATAGCTATTCAGGAAAATGTCAACCTGTTTTTATAGATTTGTATGAACTTGAGAACAGTGTAAAAGAAAAAAAACAAAAGCAGACATTATTGTTTTCTGTAACCCCCAGAGTCTGGGGTTGGTGGGGGTTGTGACAGGAAGAGGATGGATTGTCAACCACTATTCATATATCTGTGTACTGCCCCACCTGTCTTAACAGCATGGGGTATATTTGTGGATCCTGATAAAGCCAAAGGGAGACGCTTAGTGAAGCATAACATAGTGGTCGCCAGGACCAACTCTGGAATGAAGACTGCCTTTCTTTGAATCGGATTCCAGGCTCTGCTTCTTACACTTTGTGAGACCTCGGTGGGCAGGTTATTTAAATACTTGCTACTGAAGGTTTCCTGGGTGTAAAATGAAGATTATAATAACACCCATTTTATAAGTTGTTATAAGATTAAATGGTTTAATGATCAATTGCCTGGCGGCCATTTAATATGCGTGTGTGTGCATATGTGAGAGAGAGAGACAGAGACAGAGGGAGAGAGAAAGGGAAAGTGGGAGAGGGAGGGAGGGAGGGAGTTTGATGCCTAAGTCAAATATAAATGGAACTCAAATGCAGCAGACCCTTTAGAAGTTAATGGAATAAGGTAAAAGGGAGGATTTGAACTTGATACTAGGATTAATCTCCTTCTAGTGGCCCAGCCTACATTTGGTGAAGAAATGTGGCTCTATGTTCAACATTATTAGAGATTCATTGAAAGGTAAAAGCAGAAAAGATTGGATTCATTTTCCAGAAGTGGATATAAATGATTATGAGTCTGACTGGAAGAGGAGGTAGAAAGGAGGTAAAGAAGTTGAGGGAAGGGAAAGATAGGCATGGCAATATACTCATTTTATATAAAATCAAGGTAAACTGACTAAGGTATATGCAAAAAAAAAAATAGCTGAGGGTTACACCGTACAGAAAAATAAATTCAAAATGGATGAAAGACCTAAATGTGAGACAGGAAACCATCAGAATCCTGGAGAACACAGGCAGAAACCTTTTTGACCTCGGCCGTAGCAACTTCTTATTAGACACATTGCCAGAGGCAAGGGAAACAGAAGCAAAAATGAACTTCATCAAGATAAAAAGCTTCTGCCCAGCGAAGGAAACAGTCAGCAAAACGAAAAGGCAGCCTACGGAATGGGAGAAGATATTTGCAAACAACATATCTGATAAAGGATTAGTATCCAAAATCTATAAAGAACTTACCAAGCTCAACACCCAAAAACCAAATAATCCAGTTCAGAAGTGGGCAGAAGACATGAATAAACACTTTTCCAAAGAAGACATCCAGATGGCTAACAGACACATGAAAGGATGCTCAACGCCACACACCATCAGGGAAATGCAAGTCAAAACTACAATGAGATAAAGCCTCAAACCTGTCAGAATGGCTAAAATCAACAACACGAGAAACACGAGTTGGCAAAGATGTGGAGAAAAAGGAATCCTCGTGCACTGTGGGTGGGAACGCAAACTGGCACAGCCACTCTGGTGGACAGTTTGGAGGTTCCTCCAAAAGTTAGAAATTGAACTACCCTACGATCCCGCAACTTCACTATTAGGAATGTACCCAAAGGATACAAAAATACAGATTCAAAGGGGTACATGCACCCCAATGTTTTATAGGAGCATTATCAACAATAGCCAAACTGTGGAGAGTGCCCAAGTGTCCATCGACTGATGAATGAATAAAGAAGATGAGGGGTGAATATATATATATACACACACACATATGTATGTATATATATATATCTATATATATATACAGTATATATACATATACATATACATGTGTATATGTGTGTATATATATATATTATTTAGCCATCAAAAAGAATGAAATTTTGCCATTTGCAATGCCATGGATGGAGCTAGAGTGTATTATGCTAAGTGAAGTAAGTCAGAGAAAGACAAACACCATATGATCTCACACATACGTGGAGTTTAAGAAAGAAAACAGATGAACATATGGGAAGGGGGAAAGGACAAAACGGAGAGAAGGAAACAAGCCATGAGTGACTCTTAATGTTGGAGAACAAACTGATGGTTGATGGCGGGAGGTGGGTGGGGGATGGGCTAGATGGGGGATGGGTATTAGAGAGGGTAATTGTTGTGATGAGTACTCGGTGTGGTATGTAAGTGATGAATCACTGAATTATGCTCCAGACACCAATATTGCACTGTATGGTAACTAACAAAATTTTTCAAAACTAAAATAAGGTTACCAGAGTCACCAATAGAGGAACTAAACATCAAAAGAAGGTATAGAAGCCAAGAGAAAGAAAGTGAGGGCAGATTGAAGACACATGAGTGAGTTAAATTCTCCTCTGTAAGCAGAATGTGGTCAACTGATGATGTTTGAAGTTGATGAATTATTGAAATAGCAGATTAAGCACTTTATCTAGAGGTAAGAGGGTAACTGCCAGAACAGTGCAAACAGGAATTATTAAAATGCTCTACCCTGGGAAGCACAATAAGGGGTTGAGAAGTGATGGGGTCTTGAGCCTTTGCTTTTTGTCATAAGCTCCTTTGCACTTTCTGGTCATCACTATTTTATTTACCATGTGCATGACTTCCTTTCAGTGAGAACAATGCTTTTCTGTTTCTTTTTCTTTTTTAAAGAACGGTTTTTTATTTATTTATTTATTTATTTATTTATTTATTTTTTAAGATTTTTTATTTATTTATTTGAGACAGAGAGAATGAGAGACAGAGAGCATGAGAGGGAGGAGGGTCAGAGGGAGAAGCAGACTCCCTGCCGAGCAGGGAGCCCGATGCGGGACTCGATCCCGGGACTCCAGGATCATGACCTGAGCCGAAGGCAGTCGCTTAACCAACTGAGCCACCCAGGCGCCCCAAGAACGGTTTTTTAAAAGACGGTGTGTATGTTCGGTAGGAGGTCCTATGGTTAACCGCTGTGACTTTAGCAAGACTTTACCATATGGAAGGAGATTTCATTGTACATTTATTATATAGAGTGGGAACTTAAGTTGCTCAACAACTCATAGTATTGAGAATCAGCCATTCACACATCCATAGCCCATGAATGTGTCAAAGCACCATTGTGAATGTTCCAGAGATATCATGGAGACATCAGAACGCATTCAGTATCCTACAGCAAAGAAGTCGAAGGAGTGTATCACCTAACAGTAATTTATGTCCAAATTGTCCCCAAAAAGGGTGCTTGAAGGGATGAATAGCAGTTGAGGGAAAATTCACTCGTGACTCAATATCCCCATTTCATTGAGATTGTATTATCAAATCTTCTGGGTGGTTTTCTTGAGTACGGAGAATGGCATGCTTTCCTGTGTTGACTTGTAAAGTCCTCGGACCTCAGGGAAAATAAATAAATGGATTATAAAAAGGTCCTAAGGTTGGGAGAACTAAGGAAAACCTGAATGAGGGTGCAAGAAAAGTGAGTTCAGGCTGGGGAATCAGGCAGTTGCCTGGAGTAAGATCCAGTCATAGCCTGGGATGTGACTCAGAGGATCAGACTCCCTCTGAACTGACACTTTGCTCCTGGTTAGAGAGGAAAAGCCAGGCTTCCTTGGACACCAGAAAGGAAAGACACCGAGTCTTCAAAAACCAGCTGAACAAGGATATCCTCAAGACAGAGGGAAATGGCATTAATAAGGAGTCTCTTGTGTTGGGCATTGAATGCATGCCAGGCACTGTGACAAACATTTCCCATATATTACCACTTTTCATCCTTAACAACTATCCCCTTGTACAGATGAAGACTCCAAAGCTAAAGAAACAAAGAAAAAAGGTAAAGCAACTCGGACAAGGTAAGCACAGCTAGTAAGTCATGGCCTGGGGCATATCTATAGGTATATTTTTATAAGATCATGTCTGTAAACTGCCTAAGATTATGACAACGAAGGGCATTAGTTAGAATCGTAAGCATACGTTGGAAGGAGAATTGGTCCCCAGGGACAAACATGCCTGAAACGCTCTATAAAAATCATCAGTCGAGATAGCCCTTTGTTCTTGGTTCCTAAGCAGGGTTGGGGCAAAAACTACTTGTTATAAAGGAAATCCCTAAGAACCTTAGTTAGGGCTTCTGAAACTCAAACTCAGAGCACGTACTGAGGCTCAGAGTGGTTACGTGTTTTGCTCTGGGATTCTGACATTCCAAGTCCACTTGACTCCAAGACCCATCTTCTTTGAGGAATTTTGGCTCAGGAATTTAGGAATATACAGTGACTGCTAGCAGTATAGGCTTCTTCATTGCTCATGACCATCCTGAGCCCAAATATCACCAATTATGTTCCCTTTTGCAGACCCAGTCTGCTTCTGAGAGATCAACAAGGAAAGGGTCAAAGAAATGCTCACCCTCAGGGAAGGAGTGAGGGGAAAGAGGCAGAGAGGAAAAGAAACAAGAGGGAGAAACCGAGGACTGGCTTGTCTCTTGCCTTTAATCACACCCCAAAGTGACCTAGGTATGTGCCCTATTGAGGTGGGGAGGAACAGAGGGGAATGGGACTGGGGACAGTTCCAAAAGAGATGGCAGCTGTATTTTGTATTGTTTTATTGTCCTAAAATCTAAACGTCTGAAACAAAAATAGGACAAATGTTGTGTTTGGGGGGGGGTTCTGTTTGTTTTTTTCATTCTAAGGGACATGTACTTGGGTGAGTGTTCTGTGACCTGCTGTAACTTTCTGTATGTTTAAAAACCTGTTTATGATTTCAAAAGGATCGAGAAAGACAGATTCAGGTAGGCAGAAGCCCTCAGGAAGAATCAAGCTTGGATCCTGGAGTGGTCAAGAGTATTCTAAGAAGGCCCACAGTGACCAGGATATAGAAAGGTGAGAATGGGGAGGTTGGCAAGGGCCAGGTCATGCAGCTCATTATATTTAAGCCACATTGAGGAGTTTGTACTTTCGTCAAAGTGAAATGGGGAGACCTTCTGGGGTTTTGAGTAGGGGAGGCAAGAAGAGCCATTCATTTTTCAGAAAGATCAGTCTGGCTACTGAATGGAGAAGGCGGTTTGGTGGAAGCAGGCAACCAGTTAGGAGGTTTTGGCAGAACCCATGAGAGACATAATGGTGGACTCCAGTGGAGTTGGAGAGGTTCGAGTGGTGTTTGGAAGCAGAGGTGATAGGAATTGCTGAAAGATGAGAGAGTGGCCAGGGGAAGATGTGGGAGTGGGAGAGGAAGGAAATAGGGGTGCCTCTTCATTTTTATTTCACTTTAATACCCAGATGGGTGGTGGAGCTATTCGTCAAGAAGGGGAAGACTTCTGTGGAAGGAGCAAAGTGAGGGAGTGTAGGAATCCAGAGGTGAAAGAAGTTCAGGAATTCCATTTTTTGCCATTTAAGGATGAAATGTCCACGAGACATCCAGGTGGAGATGTCAAATAGGCAGACAAATAAGTATGAGATCACAACCTCCTATTTCCACCCCCCCCACACACATACAAATGGGACCTTGTACTGTCCCCTTCTCTGCAATCCTCTCTCACTTAATAATAGCATATTTTGGAGGTTCCCCTAAATCAGTCCATATGGACATAATTCATACTTGCTAGTGGTTGCATAATAATCCATGGACTGGCTGCACTGCAATGTCTTCAGTCATTCCCCAAATGATGAGTGTTTGCTTTGTGTCCTAGTTTGCCCAATATGAACCTTCCCACGATAAACATGGTCCTGCATATGTCCTGATGTCCTGGGGCTCTTATTTCTATAGGTCCGATCCCCACTCCTTCCCTGCCCCACATATCTGTCTTCCTTAACATTTCACTTTATGAGGATCCAAAGGACCGTTTGCTCAATGTGCTGTATTTACTCAAGACAATATAATAATCATTGTTATTATTTGTTATATAACAGGGGCACTTCCAAACACTTTCCAATTCTTCCTAAATTAAAGCCTAAGGCTGCTTTTTGGTTGGCTTGTATCTCATAATTATTTTCATTTGGGGGGAATTTGAGGGGACAGTGTGAATTGACAGAAATGATTTCCCTACTCCAAAACACAGTTACACTTTCATTCTCTTTTCCCCGGGCATCCTTCCTACAGCTATGCCAACGAGAAATTCATGGGAAGAGACTTCTTTATGTAGATCACTGTTTTCGGTGTTTTGATTCATTGTTGTATGTGGAGTTGAGCTGTTCCTCTCCCCATTAGAACACCCCCCACCCCCGTCCCCTACCTTCTTCCATTCTTTTCTACTCCTTTCCCCTGCTCTCTGAACTGCATTCCCACTCCTTTCCATTTCTCCCTCCTGATAGGAAGAAGGAAGTGGGCCACATGAAATGGAAGACCAGTGCTGGCTCCAAACATTCTCGAAATGTCTCCGGATCTGAACCTATCTCCTTTTAAAGCTCCACTGAGAAATAAACAGAAAGAGAAGCTAAACTCTAGCACACAAAGTCTCTTGCTGTCCTGTTTTAAACCAACTCCCATGCACGTGCTGCCAGGAGTACTGAAAGCAGGACCTGAGTGAGGACACTGAGGCTGGACCATGCAAGTCAGGTTTGGGGCCAGCCCTTTTTTTTAACACCCAGTCCCTCTCAATCTCTTCTGCTGGCTTCTCATCCTCAACTTAACTTCTAAATGCGGGCGTGTTTCAGGGAATAGCCCTGCACCTTCTTCCCCTGACTATCCTCTCTCTCTAGGGGGTCCCGCCCAGTCTCCTGGCTTTGAATACCATATCTGTGCCCTGTTCCCTCAATAATTCAGTCTTGCCAGCCTATATGGATGACAAATAGACTTCAGACACTTAACATGTGCAAATAAGAGCTCTTGACACCCCCCCAACTGTTTTTTTCTCCCTTCTCCAAACCTACCACACCCACTCCCCATTTTGCCTATGACCATACACAACACCTCCATGATCAAGACTTGAAAGAAAATATTCTTATAGTAATCATTCATTTCTTAAGTTTGTTTACCAACTGCCTTCAATGCATCAGCAAGTGATGTCTCTTCTCTTTCCAGAATGTCATGTGACCCCATGCACTATTCTCCAAATTCATGCTGCCAGTCTTGGCCAAGTCACTGCCATCTCTCAGCTGGACTACTACAAGAGGGTCCGAATTGGTCTCCTCACTTTCCTTTGTGCTCTGCCCACTTGCAATATTTTCCACAGAGAGCAGCCAGTGAGAAATTATTGAATATAATTAGGTCATGGCACTCCCTTGATTCAATCCTCTCTCTGGTTCCCCAGAACACTTTTTTTTTTAAATAAAGATTTTATTTATTTATTTGACAGAGAGAGACACAGAAAGAGAGGGAATACAAGCAAGGGGAGTGGGAGAGGGAGAAGCAGGCTTCCCGCCGAGCAGGGAGCCTGATGCGGGGCTCGATCCTAGGATGTGGAATCATGACCTGAGCCGAAGGCAGACACCCAACGACTGAGCCACCCAGGCGCCCCTCCCCAGAACACTTTTGAGTAAAAACAAAACTCTTCATCATGGCTCCTTCCCACCACTGCACCCTCTTCGTGTCCCTCCGCCCCACCTCTCACTGGGCTTCAGCCACACTGACATCCTTTCTGCCCCTCTGGCACCCCAGTTTTCTGTCACAGGCCAGGGGGGACTGTAGTTCTCCCTGCTGGGCAGGTTCTTCGCCTGGCTCCTGGCAGGACTGACCACTTATCATTGTCCTCAGGAAGGCCATTCCTGACCTTTGCCACTTTTTTGGGGGGGGGGCGGGGGGGTTCTAGATAATGCGTACCAAACCATCTTGTTTATTTCCATGAGGGCATTCGTAGCAACCTTTACATGCTTTCATCTTTTCTGATGTGTTTATTGTCTGTCTTCCCTACTAGAAAATAAGCTCCCTGATTACAGGGACCTTCTGCCTAGAAGAATGCCTGGTACAGCATAGGCCCTCCCCAAATTCTTGTCAAGTCATTGGATGAATGAGATGAATAACACTTCCTCCCACAAGAAAGAGACCTCTCCCTCCCTCCACTGATGCTCCACAGGGCTCATCATTTTTGCCTCTGTCACAGTGCCTAGTAGTCAGAATATTTTTGATTGTAGATGGCAGGGACTGGCCAGGAATGGACTAAAACAAGGAGGGGCCCCCTGGAGGCCTCTGTGGGAAAGGACTTGGAGAGCATTCCCTAGCTGCTCTCCTTGTCACTTAGTGACGAGTCACTTAGTAGCCCTGTTCCTGTTGCTGGAGGTTCAGGGGCCTAGGGATTGTCTTCAGGTTTGACAGGTTTGGGAATTTGCTGGCCATAGCATGACATCCTTGAGCCTCTTTCTCCTGCTGTTTCACTGATTTCTGTTGGCTCTGTGGGCTGGAAGTCAAAGTCAGAGAAAGAGATGTTGTTGAGCCCTGGTCCTTGAATCGGTCCTGCTTGGCATTTCTGTCTCCAACAACGGGCCAAGAAGTTCTTCTCATCAACTGCACATCCGCTACCCCCCAGGAATCATGGCTTCCCCCTGGCCTCTTCCTCCTCGGGTCCCTCTTGGATGGCCACCTGGAATGGTGAGGCACCGCTCATCTGCCTCCTGCCTACAAGCAACCTAGACCCCCAAGAGATGGCTCTTAACAGCAGTGACAGTGATCACCTTGGTCAAGCACTGGCTATTCCCCAGGCTTTTCCTACGTCGCTGTCCTTTTCCTTTGTTGGCACTAGCCCTGTCTAGGGGCAGTAGGGGGCTGGATCTCGCAAGCTGGTGAGGTACATATCTGTGTGTCTGCTTCTCAGCCACCTTGGGATGCTTTCCAGCTAGCGATGGGAAAGTTCTCACTGCCTCACACCCCACAGTGACTCGGTCGGTTCCGCAGGCTCGGGGGTTGTTCTGTCATGTGCAACTGCCTAGGTCCAGCCAACACTGCCACCACAAAAAAACGGCTTTATTTACCCAAAGAAGGTGGATGGGCAGGAATGAGGGGGAGGAGAGAACATGTGCTGGGCAGATGAAATTCCATGGCCACCATAGTCCAATCAGATAGCACCTATTGCCTTCTGCTGGCATTTCTGTGATTGGTGTGGACAGCCTGAACTTGAGTGGAGTGAGATGTCCTGAGGGTTTGATCATTTTTTTCTTTACATCTGAGCCCAAATCCCACGCAGTTCAATGCCTGGCTCACAGTAAGTGAGAAACTCCTATTTATGGGAGGAAAGGAAGGACAGAGGGAAGGGTTGTTCCGACTCTTTTGGAAATGGTCACATCTGACTGTCTTTTTGTTCTATCATCTCTGTCTCAGTTGTGTGTAGGGGAGGGCACTTGCACATTTATATATGCATTGATGGGGGCTTTTTTTTTTGCCCAGTTTTACTGAGATATAATTGACATATAACATTGTATAAGGTTGAGGTGTACAACACAATGATTTGATAGATAGATACAGATACAGCTATAGAGATAGAGATATACGATTACCACAGTAAGTTTAGTTAACATCTATCACCTCACATAGTTACACATTTTTTTCTTGTAATGAGAACTTTTAAGATCTACTCTCTTAAGTACTTTCTGTGTTGATGTTTAATTTGTACTCTTTCTAAGGATCTGATGACGCGATTCCCTCCCTGAATGTGCTGAGTAGTGCCTGTGAGCTTGGGTACAGAGTCCAAGCACCTTAGCTTGCTTTTCAGGGCTCCACACCTTCCAGCTCCATCTCCTGCCATGTGCTCTTGGAGACATGATCTCTGTCCACGCCAGATTATTGGGCATGACCAGAAGTGGCTTTGTGTGTGCTAGCATGCCACAGGGCCTTGGCACAGACTGACCCCTCTGTTTGGAATGCCTTCCTTCCTGCCTCCACACGGTGGACTCACCTTTCAGAGCTCATCTTGGGGCTCTCATCTTCTGTGCAGCCTCACTTGACTCCTACCAGGAAGAGTTAGTGGCTGGGTGCTCCTTTCTGGAGCAAGTGGGACCCTCGCTTCTGTTACACTCTACTCTAATGGTTGCTCACTTGTCTATCCCCTCAGCATTTGGCCCTGTGTGGCCTCTCTGCTTCCACAAAACATACTGCTCACCTTTTCTCACCCAGCCCCACACCTCGAACACATCAACACTCACTGCTCACTTATCACATGGCCTGTCCCTTAGCTCCCAGTGCCAAGTACTTGATAAGGCTTTCACAAATATTAGCTGATGACCTGGGACCAGGCACCTCATTCTAGAGATTTCAGGTTTTGTTTTTGATTTGAACATGGATGTGTATTTCTTGGTTCATGTTGGTAACCTTAGCACCTTGAGGGTAGAGCCAAGATCAAACAAGTGCTGGACCAGGCCCTGTCCCCAGCCCTTGGTTTGGCTTTCCTCAGGGTATCATGGAAGACAGCACTAAGGACAGGGTGCTCTTGATTCCCCCTCTGTTGGGCTGCATGTATGGAGGCTGGGTGGTTGGGAAGAAGAATTGGGGGGGGGACGTGGAAGAACCCCAGGTCTCTAGTTCTCCGGTAGTCTGGAGCAGGGACAGGGTTTCCAGCCCAGAGGACAAGCTCAAAACCAGCTTATGTCTCCTGCTTCCCAGACCCCTGTATCCCTAGGGACCGGCACAGGCTCCATAAATATTTGTGGCATGGCATTATGAATGAATGAATACGTGTTCTTTATTCCCTCTTCTGCAAGTGTTGCAGAGGAGGGAAAGAGCTGGAAAAGGCGGGGGGGGGGGGGTGAGATTCTCTGAGAAAATGGGTCAGCAGGCTGCAGGGGGAGCTTGCCCCACTGGCCCCAGCTCCTGCTCAGAGAAGGTGTTGTGTCTTTGGTGGCGGTGATCTTGGGGAGTGTGTGTGAGCGGAAGTGGGGAGAAGCCCTGGATGTGAGAAACCCATTTTTCTCGGCTTTGTTTTAGGCCAGGCAAGTGTATTCTGCATGCCACCCACCCGCTCTTGCAAGGTACTTGATTTAATCATTTAAATGTACTATGGGGAGAGGGGGGATAAAACAAAACCCTCTAAATCTAACCCGTATTCCCGCAGTCCACAGTGGAACCCTTTCCCTGCCTTCCTCTTCATAAATATCCAGGCAACCTGAGAGGCTGTGGACTCACCCCCTCCCGCCCCCTTACCCCCCCCCCCCCCGCCCCAAAGCTCCCGCTCCCGCCCCCTCCCACAGCCCGCGGCCCCACAGCCCCGCAGCAGCCGCAGGGGGAACCAAAGAGACAGAAGCCTTCCCAGCTGCCCGGACCACAGACGCCAACACCCCCCGCCCCCCACCACACGCCGCCCGCCCGCCCGCGCCCCGCACGCTAGCCCACGACCGAGCGGCGGCGGCAGCAGCAGGCTGCAGGCTGCGGCGACAGGCACCGGCGCGCTCCTAGCAGCGCTCGCTTGCTATCCCAAGTGACTTGGACTCGCCAGATCGGCTGGCCCCGGGTCCCGGCCCCAGCTCCCGCTCGCGCCCTCGGCCCGGGTTCCAGCGCCCACCCGCCCTCCTGCACTTTCCCGCCTCTCCGCCCCCCAGCTCGCGGGAAGGGAGGTCGCGGCAGCGGCCTGGCGGCACCGGCGACCGTGGCGACAGCGGCGACACTGGCGGCGGCGGTGGCGGCAGCGGCTGCGGCGGCGGCGGAGGCTGCGGCGGCGACCGTGGCAGAGGCTGTGGCGGAGGCCTCCGTAGCGGAGGCGGAAGCAGAGGTGGAGGCTGAGGTGGAGGCCGAGGCCTCAGTAGAGGAGGCAGTGGCAGAGGCCACCCGGGGGGAGGCGACGGCCGCCCTGGCAGAGCGGGAGGAGGCGGAGGCCGCCCTGGCGGCAGCGGTTGTGGAGGCCAGCGCGGCCGAAGCCGCCGCCGCCGCCGCCGCCGCAGCAGCAGAGGCTGCGGCGCCCTCCTCGGGGGAGGCGGATGCGGATGCGGATGCGGAGGTGGCGGCGGCGGTGGCGGCGGCGGCGGCGGCGGCGGCGGCGGCGGCAGCTGCGGATGCAGATGCGGATGCGGAGACCAGCCGGGGCTCCGAGGGGAACCCAGACTTTCCTATGGCCTCGCTGTACGTGGGCGACCTGCACCCTGAAGTGACAGAGGCGATGCTGTACGAGAAGTTCAGCCCGGCCGGGCCCATCCTCTCCATCCGCATTTGCAGGGACAAGATCACCCGCCGCTCGTTGGGCTACGCGTACGTCAACTACCAGCAACCGGTGGACGCCAAGCGGGCCCTGGAAACCCTGAACTTTGATGTCATCAAGGGCAGGCCCGTGCGCATCATGTGGTCCCAGCGGGACCCCTCGCTCCGCAAGAGTGGGGTGGGCAACGTCTTCATCAAGAACCTGGGCAAGACCATCGACAACAAGGCGCTGTACAACATCTTCTCGGCGTTTGGCAACATCCTGTCCTGCAAAGTGGCCTGCGACGAAAAGGGGCCCAAGGGCTACGGGTTTGTGCACTTCCAGAAGCAGGAGTCCGCAGAGCGGGCCATTGATGCGATGAATGGCATGTTCCTGAACTACCGCAAAATTTTCGTTGGGAGATTCAAGTCGCATAAAGAACGAGAGGCCGAAAGGGGAGCCTGGGCCAGGCAATCCACCAGTGCTGACGTCAAGGATTTCGAGGAAGACACCGATGAGGAGGCCACCTTGCGATGAAGACATGCCAGGAACGAGCCAGCCAGCAGAGCCAAACCTTGGCTCCCACCCGGTTTACAACCCCCCTCTTTGCCCCCCTAACCCACCAGCAGTGTATTGTATTGTACTGGGAGTGCAGGTCTCTCTCTCTCTCTCTCTCTGTCTGTCTCTGTCTCTCTGTCTCTCGCCTTCCCTCTCCCCTCCTTCCCTCTCCCCCTCCTTCCCCCTCTCTCTCCTTCTCCCTCTCTTCTTCCCTCCTTTCCTACCCTCCTCCCCCCCCTCCCTCCCTTCTGCTCTCCCCACCTCTCTCCTCCCCCCACACCCACCAAGGGCCTGCGAATAATCTTGCTAATCTGTGCCACTTGATAGATTACAGGCTGCCTCTTCTCCTTGTGGTTTGGTTTAAAAAACACTTTCATTCTCTCTTCGTTGGCTACACAGGTGATACAGTTTCATGGTAGAAACATCAGAAAGGAGAAGGAAATCAGATGAGGGAAAACCAAGAGAGTACTTGTTCCCCATGATCCTACTACCCAGAGACAACCACTTTTTGGTGTGCTGTTTTTCCAGGCTCTCTTCTCTCCCTCTGTCTCCCTTCCTTCCTCACTCCCACCCCACCTTCCCTTTTAACTCACTGTTATAGAATGGTTCATGTGTGTGGTGTTTCTTAACCTGCTTCTTCAGAAACTAAAACCAAACAAAAATCAACCCATTGAACTTCTTCCCATGCTATTCAACAGGCTTCCGAAATGTCATCTTCAATGCCTGCAGAGTGTATCGATGGATCTTTAACATTTCTGAATCAATCCCGCATTGTTGGACATTCCGGTGGTGCCTAGTTCTTTTCTTGTGTTTAAACCCAACACTGCATACTCTGATGAATGAATCCTTCCTTGTCAAGCCAAATCTTCGCTAGCCTACCGGATGGTCTTCTTAATTGTGGACTTGCAGGATCCACAATAAAATATCCTTGCAGGATATTTTAAAGACTTTTCCTGTGTGTTGCCAAATGGGCCCTTCATAAGCATTGTACTGATTTGCATTCATGCCAGCCAGCACAGCCAGTAAAAAGAGTATGTCCATTTCCCCTGCCTAGTCTCCTGGTCACTGTAATTGATGTGTGTGTGTGTGTGTGTGTCTGTGTCTGTGTGTGTGTCTGTGTGCGCGTGCGTGCATGTGCGTGTCTGGACCAGCTTGATGGGCTGCAAATGGTATTTTGCTGTTTGGGGTTGTTTTACTGGACGTAAATGCTCTTTATCACCTCTTTTCCCTGTGCCCACTTCCTGCCCTTTTTTCCCATGTCAGAAAAATCATTCAGCTTCATTGCAGGGAAAAATTAAAAAGCAGACAAGTTAACAGAAGAAATTTAATGTCCCCAGTAATCAATTCTAATCACCAGCCATGCATTCCTAAATCATTTTCATGTGCACTTGCCCAGTATTTTTCATGTGATATATATGTGAATTTTAATGTATATATTGTTTCAATATTTGCTTTTTCACATATGAATATATAATATAGATAGATATAGATGTATAGATAGATATTCTTGAACTTCCTTTCATGCCATTAAATATTCTTCTAAAATAGTTTCATGGCTCTTTAGTGTTCCAGTGGAGGGGTTTCATAGAGGAATAGATAGATACATGTATTCATCTCTATTCATATTTAGATATAGGTATGGGGCTATTTTTCACAACTTTCTCATTGTTGAACATCTGTTTTGTTTTGTTTTTCTTATCCAAACCTAGCCGCTAATAATACATAGTGCACAAACCTTGCTTACATTCAATATTATTTTATGAACAAACATTGGTGAGAGCAAATTGTAGAATCAAAGGACATGGAAGGTTTGAAATTTTTTTCTTCTTCTTTTGCGGGGAGAGGGGGTTTCCTTTTTAAATGACTATCCCAAAGGTAGTGTCTGTCAGTTTACCCTCACCAAGTACACAAATAATGTGAGAGGATGGAAACCTTGTCAGTTATCTAGACTTGCTATTGCAGTTATTTCTATAGTCTCCCTATATTTTATCAGGGGGACTGTTGCTTTTTTTTTTTTTGCTTTTGTTTAGTTTAAACATTTATTTTTATACAAATAACACAATATCATAATAGAAACTTTTAAAAATTGATTATGAACAAAGTAAAAATCACTCCTAATTGTACCCTTTGACAAAAAAAACTTTGGAACACATGAAACATGTACATAAATAATACTTTCAAAAATGTAATATTTATTGTTTCATTATGGAATATGTCCACTATAATTGGTCTTTCATATCATCTTTCCAAATTATTAAAAATTCTCCTTTAATTTTTTTAAAGATTTTATTTATTTATTTGACAGAGAGAGACACAGCAAGAGAGGGAACACAAGCAGGGGGAGTGGGAGAGGGAGAAACAGGCTTCCCATGGAGCAGGGAGCCTGATGTGGGGCTGGGATCATGACCTGGGCCGAAGGCAGATGCTTAATGACTGAGCCACCCAGGCGCCCCTAATTTTGTTTTTATGTTCCATCTTATGGTTGAATTACAATTTCTAAAATTCAGCCCTTTCATATGTTTAAGCTGTTCTAGTTTTTCCCTAGTAAGATTAATTCTACAAGGAACACATTTGTAGGTGAACATTTGCTGACATGTGCAGAGATTTAATTGCCTTATATACCTTGCCAGTTTGTTACCAAATGCTTCTTCATGAAGTTTATGCCCATTAACTGTGTAAGAAATTGTATATTTCTCTGCTCATCTTCTTCAGTTAGTATTTTTTAAGTTATGAGAAATTGGTTAAGCTTGTGCATTTGTTTTATTATTTCATTTTACAGATGTATTGCTTGAAAAAAAGACATTAAATATATACAACAACCTCTTTTAAGAGATTATTTTTTGCCTATTTGTCCACAATATTTAAAACAAATACACAATGTATTCTTTCAATTTTTTTCAATATATTGTAAATATAACAAATATCTTTGGCTCTCCAATATTCTTCCATAACTCACTATCACTGTATAGGTGAATCAGAATCTTTTAAATAGTGTTTCCTTACTTTGGAATTTAACATAGTTTCTAAATTTTCACCATTGAACCCAAATCTGTGGCAAGTGATTTTGCTGCAGGATTATTGTACTTACATAAATACATAGAAGTGGAATTGAAAAGTAGAGGTCTTTTAAAAAGTTTTAACTGTGCCATCAGGTGGCCTGGATCTACCAATTTATACTTCCACTCATACGGTGGAGGAATGCCCATTTTCTTGCACAAGTTCCTCCCTGGGTTTTATAAACTTTGCGGATATGATGCTATTAAAAATACATACTTCATTTTTTGTTTTCCTTTTTCAATTTTTTAAAAATGATTTTTTGCTTCTTATTCAAGGAATATAAATTCATTTAAAAATCACATTGCATTGATAGGGAAAATAAAATAAAAGTAGCACTGGTAATATAAAGAAAAATTTAATTTTATGTATACATATAAGCATACATAATATTGCATTATATAATACA